CCACAGGAAAAGCCCCGGGAACTTTTGAATTTCATTTCCTGTTTGGCCAGCGTGGTGAACTCATCAGCACTCAGCAGCACAAGTGACCATGCAGTCCCCCCAGAATGTGTCTACGTTCCTCCTATCATCTCCGTCCCTGAGGTTATCGCAGATTAGAAGGCGAAAAAACCACACTCGCGATGACATGTTTTCCAAGCTCATACAGTCCTCCTGCACTGATAGGGCACAGCGTAATGCATGGAGGCATTCAGTGGCAGAGTCCAGGAAAGAATTGCTGTGTTTGCTTAACAGCAAAAGTATCATGCCTCGCTAGCGATCCTGCCCGAGCCAGGTCATTGTGTCAGCCTTGGGAGGGGGCATGACCGCTTTGTGAGCAGGAAGGCCATAGATACAGACATTGCATTAGGTAGCTTTTGTAGCTAGAGAAAAGGTTCCTGTGCATCTGGCAAAGTCTGTGGCAAAAAAAGAGAAGCCCTGTAGTGTAGTGGTTATCACATTCACCTAATACACAAAAGTCCTGTAGTGTAGTGTTGGTCATGTTCACCTAACACATGAAACATCACTGGTTCAAAACCGGGTGGAAACAGGTCACTGTTCCTTTTTCTGACTCCTCTCCTGCATTTTTAGTCTTAGAACAGAGTGCGCTGGGAAATTTTACTTTGAATTATATCAATTAGGAGTTAAATAATATGGAAGCTCTCTCTCAGTTATAGTCCTGGGTTCCTTACCCTTTCAGCTGCTCTGATAAATTAACATTTTTGTTAGGGGCGGGGGAAAATTTTCAGGAAGGCTTTTATAGGGACTAAATGCTATCTAGGACTCTGAAATAATCTTAACGTGGCCCATAGAGTGCAATTCTTTGTTCTGGATTTGTCATTCCACAAGTTGAACTGCTCCTTACTACTGTCCAGGCTTCATGAGTCATGGGAGCAAGGGGCAGGCTGGGGTAGGTGCGACCGTGTGGTAATGCCAGCTGGGAGAGCAGTCTGAGGCAGAAGCCTTCAGCTTGCATGATATTCCAGGCAGGACTGAATGTCCATGAGACAAAACTTAAAGAAGAGAATGACCTGGAGTCACTCCCATTCGGTGCTCTAAGAGGAGAATACCCATGTCTGTCCAGGCACCCCTGATCAACCTCACCGAGGTCTGCCAGCTGAGCGGGGCTGGGCAGGACCCCGGCTGTCAGGAGCTGGTGGACGGAGCTCCAGACCGGCAGCGGGCTGACCTGCTCAGCCCACTGCCTGCCTGGGGTTCTGATCGTCCAGGCAGGCAGCGGGCTGAGCAGGTCCGGTGGACGGGACCCTGGAAAAAAGGCGTGAAATGATTGTCTGCCATTGCTTTCACGGAGGGGGGCGGGGGCTGACGACATGTACTCAGAACGACCCACGACAAAGTTTTTGACCCATCAGGCATTGGGAGCTCAACCCAGAATTCCAATGGGTGGTGGAGACCGTGGGAACTGTGGGATAGCTACCCCCAGTGCACCGCTCCAAAAGTCGACGCTAGCCTCGGTACTGTGGATGCACTCCACTGAGTTAATGGTCTTAATGGTCTTAAGTGGGGACACACACAATCGACTGTATAAAATCGATTTCTAAAAAATCGA